TATATATATATTTCTTTTTTATTATTATCATTTACCGAACGCACACATATAATATCATTGACGCGAATGAAAAAAAAAAAAAAAACTCTTTCCATTTATTCCACCACGATATAATACTCCGAGTATGCGTACAAATTTATGAAATAGTACATACCACCGTTTATATTACTTGTCGCATGGAATATCAACGATATTAAAAACCTCCTCGTTTTATTACATTTTCTTTTTTTCTTTTTCTTTAAGCTCTATACCCCCCCGAACATTATAAATTCTTTTTCGCAGTCCGATAATATAGTCGAAAGTTCTTTTTTTTTTCCCTTCGCGTTCAAATAAATTTATTATTTTAAATTATAAGAAAATTGTGTGTGTTTCTCAAAAGTAGTTATGTAAATCGTAAAATATTGATCTTCAGAAAAAAAAAAAAGAAAAATGTAAAGTGAAATTTATCCAACAAGCAAAATCCAATGATTTTCCCCAATGTTTTACCAGCTAAGAACAGAGAGAAAACGATTTTAAATTAGAATCTTTTCATTTAAACTGTCGGATAAATCACGTTGTAAGTTTCCTTTCTTATTATTCGATTCTTATCGTTTCGATTTTCAATGGAAAACTTTTCCCTCAATGTCGTGGAAAAGAATTGGGAGTGTAAAATAGGAAACATTCATGGTGATTGGCCAACATTGGGGGTGATTCGACGGCGATTCGATGACCGCATTGAAAACTTGTTCATACATACATACCATACATACAGATAGATAGATACATACATACATACATATATAGATACATTGTACATATATACCACCTTATGTAGGAAACGAAGTAGAAACGAACGAACGAACCCTGACTCATAAACTCCAGCCAATGGATGTGCTTTGAAAACACGCGCTTTCGAAAAGTCGCCAGCCAGTCTGCGAGTTGGCACCACCACAAAATATACGACATCGAAATCTTTCCACGAGCGAACTAAAAGTCATACCATTGTTTCTTCTGAACCGAGGCGTATATACCAAAAAGAAAATCGTTTCTTCTTCCCTTTTACCGATCTACCACCCACTTTTTCCTCTCACCATTTTCACGATTCTATTCTAGGAGAGTCATGAAGGAATCACGACATTGAATTAAAGTCTCGTACACTTGCTTTTCCAAGCTCGTTTCTCTTCTCGTCTTCTTTTAATCCGAGTCATTTGATATCACGCTAGTATATACAAGAATAAAAAGACTTAAATCAATTGTGTGTGTTTGTGAACGAAAAGTAATCGACAAATGTAATTGCGTGAACATTTTCAACAATGTTATTTATCTAGTTTATTTCATATTATTAATTATTAATCTTATCGATTATACTCGCCTAGAAGACAAAATTTGAGAAGAATCGAAGTATCGGATTGTTAGAAAAGTAATATCGTTTTTTCGTATAGAAATTTTCTTAATCGCATTTACCGATGATGAATTTTTTTAATTGTAAATCTCAAATATTATTTTACATTGTTACAATAGAGAGAAATTTCTCATCAGACGCGATTTTAAATCCGACGAGTAATATTTCGTTGGCATCGCATTGTAGAAGGAAACATCTAAATCAGCGTTTTCGTTATAGTAGTTTACTTAACTATTATTATTATTATTATTAGTGTAGGGATAATAATGCAGTCTAAGCAAAAACAAAATTATGTTTCATTAATAAAATTACTTTACCAAATTTCGTTATAATAATTTCGATTGGATAGATGCATCCACGTTAAAATCGTCCAATTGAAGATGATGACAGGAAAATAAACTGAACGCACCGATAATTTATGCTGATTGTCGTATAAACGAAGCGAAAAATATCTAAGAAATTTAATTTATCAAATTCGCGATCATTTAAAACGTTTCGAATTGTTTATATGAAAATATCTTCTTTCTCATTCTCTTTTTTATTTTTTATTTATCATATTACTTAAGAAACGAAATAACTTTTCGAACAATCTAATAGATATTTAGCAGTAATCTTGTTACTCGCGAAATTTTCTATTTTTTTTTTGCATCGAAACTCTGAAACTAATTTCTTTTACAAAGAAGCCTTTCCAAAGCACTCACGTTTCTTTCTCTCTCACTTTCTTTCTTCCTTTCTTACTTTCTTTCTTTCTTTCTATTATCGATACGATGTAATCTTAAGCTCCCTTCGTAGCTCGTTCGCGGTTTTACTTGTGTTAACTTTAAATAAAGAAAACAAGGAAGGGGTAGTAGTATTGAAGGAGAATACGTCTAGACAAATTTTCTAGTGTTGTATTACGAGCCAATCCATTTGCTAGATCACTATAGACGTATCGCACAGACTATGGAAGGACTCAATAGTTCGATGCAAAATAAAAAAAAAACCGCTGCAGAACTAATGCATCGATATCCTCAATCCTTTCTTTTCCTTTCTTTCTTTCTTTCTTTCAACTTTCAGAATATTCAAGATATACATACGCCCAATCAATCTTATCGATGGAAATGTCCATCTTATTTATTGAACCATCGAATATAGACGTATTTTTTACTCATATATATACTTTATATGCTTGTATATATCGAAGCTGCACACGACTTTAAAAGCTTTTCAAGATAGTCGTAACAAATCTTCTCTATCATTTGAACGTGTTACATTCTTCAACGCGTATATATTAGATTATCCTTCCTAAATTTTTTTTTCCTTTTTATTTTGTTTTTTTAATAAATTCTATATATGAATAATAATATTTTATATTGGATGCATATATATACAGGATAATGATAATAGGATTGATATTTTAAATTAACGAATATAAAATAAGTTTTCTTTTTTTAAATGTTCACGTTTATTGGTGTTTATGTAATTAACGCTCATAAGGGGGGTGGGGTAATTATACATGGGAAATTGATATCGGTAAAATGGTCATTTCTACTTCTGTTTTAAGGCTATATTTTCAATAATGGATTTAAAATTGTAAGTTTTATTGCTGCATTATTTTACAAAAGGAAAAAAAGAAAAGTTCTGAACTTTTACAGAAACATACTTTTATTTTCTTTATATATGTTTAATAAAAATTGAAAGTTGGTCGGTAAAAGAAATTATTTTTACGTTAAGTTACAAAATTATAGTCAACCCATATCATTGTATGATATGGAAAAACGTAATAGGACAACAAAATGTATATTCAAATAAAATTATATTAAAAAGTATTGTGCACGTAAAATTAACTATATCTAAGAAAACTTTTTAAGAACGATATCAAATACATTAGAATTTTACAGCCTTCCTTTATCATTGTAGACATTGTCATCTTCTTCCATCTTCATTATTGATCGTCCTGCGACGTTTAACGAAAGTCTCCGAGACGAGAGACACTTTTTCAATATTTGTTCGTTAATATATCATTTGATTCTTAATGATTGGAAATGCATAAAACAAAATAAAAAACAAACGTGCAGCTAGTTTCCTTCGATTCAATCGGAATTTAAACTCTTCCGCTTAATCTCAATGGAAAGATAATAATAAAAAAAATATATATGAAATTATATTCTTCGTTACAGAGTTTTATACACGATCGTAAAGAATAAACGGATATATGATATCTTTGTTCAGACAGAGGACAAAGCTATAGTTATTTTTTTTTGTTCTTTTTTTTTTTTGTTATCTCATGAAGGGTAGTTTCAATTGAGATACAGGGTAGAATTACGATTCCGAATAAAATCAGAAACGACTAACTCCGTAGCAATGTATTTCCCACTCGTAACTACCAAACTCCAATGCATTTCGATATTCGAAAGAGCTTCGAGTACTATCGATATTTATCGATAAATGGCTAAAAATACACGAAAGACCGCTTTTGACTTCTCCAAATGCGAAATAATGTAATGTAAATAATATACACACACACGCATATACATGCATGTTGTATTCATTCATGTTAAGTATATTATTATTACTGTCTATCGATAAATAATTTCAAAATATAAATGTAATAATGTACATAATTTCCTACAATATTTCACCATTTTTCAAACTTTATTTGCGTTCTGTTATATCGGTTGGATTGTAAAAAAAAAGGGAAAAAATGAGAAAAATCGGAGAGTTAAGAAGAAAATAAAAATGAAACAAATAAAATATATTGTTTCGTTCGTCGTTACCTCTACGAAGTATTTCGATGTTACGTGTCCAAATACGTATCATTTTTTATAACGACAAGTAAATATGCGCGATGGTAAACGCGTAAAATAAATCGGGGGGAAATACAGGAAGATGGTCTATCAATAACTTTGAAAATATAGGAACGAATCGTGTCAGTTTAAGATACACGAGATCGTATTCTCGATGCATGTGATCATAAATATTTTTGTCCACGTATAGATATAATATAATGCGCGTTAAAAAAAATTTTCTCGGTATCTTTCAAATGTTACGTAAAGAAGAGAGAGAAGACAAAAAAATAAAGATAAATAACGAATCTATTCAACAAATGGGATTTATGATAAAAAGTATGTAAGAAGAAAAATTTATCTTCTAATTTTTTTGTTTTTTTTTTTTGGTTTTCAGGTAAATGCAAGTGAATCGAAGAAATTGCGTTGCCCGTGGGCATAGACGCGCGTGAAAAGGGCCACCGAAGGGCCGGGACGCGCTGGGTTTTCGAGATGAGCTATGAATCTGGGCTATCTGGTAGCCTCCGCTTTCATCCTTCAGCTGCTTCGGCTGCCGTTTGTCGTCGAAACTTTACCCTCAGTCGTGAAAATCGGTGAGTACTTCAAATAGATAAATATATATATTTGTATTGTTTTACATATCCCCGATCGAAATCCGATAGATCAAGAGTCACAAGTTCAGCTGAAACCAATTCAAATCGGCAAAAAACGGTACATCATTTATATTTTTACGGATTGGGTCAAATTATAAAAATAGGAAAACAAGAAGAAAAAAAAAAAAAAAAGAGACGAGAACGTGAAGCAGCAGCAGCAAAAGCATCAACCGTGTAACCTATTTGAATTTTTAAAATTTTAATAGGGACAGATTGGTGTTATTTAATTTTTGCCTCACTTCAGACTTCCCACTAGAAATTCAACGTTGGTTGTTAATTAATGAGACTGTTCTAGCTGTTGTTGTCTTGCCGTGACTAAAGTCACGGACCGAATACGGATGAGTAGCATAAATTATCATCGTAGAATGGTATAAACCATGAATCCAGAGAAAATCCACCAGAGTTGGCAATTCGTCAGTATTATCCACGATTATGAAACGTTCTTGTTAAACTCATTATCGGTAACTATTAGTTTTCATTTAACTGATTATTCTCTCTTCGTGTGAAATTTTGATAAATAATCGAGCCTGATTAAGAATTCGATGAATATTAAAATGTAAATAAAATATTAATATTTAAAAGAAGAAGAAGAAGAAAAAAAAGTATTAGTCTACTTTTCTTATTCATTTCATTCCAAGAAATTAAATCGTAACTCGATTTTCTCTGAAGAAAATGGAAACTATTCTTATTTGTTTTCAACTCTCATGAAATAATGGAAAATGGCGAGATATGGAAGAGACATTAGAATACATCGAATAAACTAAGGAAGAAGAAGACAAAGTAATACCTAAGTAAAAAGTAAAGCAATGCAAAAGAGTTAATGAAAAAAGTTAGAGTTAAACTTCACTACGATAATTGTTTGAAAAAATGTTGTTATGTCTATTTATACTCTGTTATATTTCATTTCATTTTGTCAAAGAGAAATGTTTTAAAGTAAAATTTACATTGCTCTTACAATTGAAAAATGTCTTTTATCTCTCAAAGATAGTAGTAGCACGAATATTCTTGAACGGACAAGCTGAGTGATATGTGAAGCTCAACTTTTGCTTAGATTTCTATGGTAACGACATTCTTATTATGGTGTTCTCTCTTGGTCGAATAGATCTTATTCTTCTTTTCTTCCTTCATTTTATTTTTCTTCTACCGCTTCTCTCTTTGGAAATGTCGGTGCCCTTTTTACATTGTGGGCGTCTTCCAAATGGAGAAAACGACGAGAAAATACGGTGAACGAAAAGAAACTGAAGTGGGAGGAAAAAAGAAAAAAGGGAAAACCTGGTAAAAGAACGATTTTTACATGTAAACGTGTTATAATATTCCTGACGAATTTTTCTTAGTAATCGAATGTGTATAAAAAAAAAGAAATTTGTTCGTGTTTTTTCACATTATAAACGTATAAAAACCACCCTTTCCGTAACTTTATTGTAATATTTATATTAAACCGAAAAGAAAAAAAGAAAAAATATATTTTTCACGTTAATATTTTCATTCACGAGTGGTAATAATTCATAAGGTTGTTTTTTGATATCTCGAATGGGGTTTCTCTCACTTAACTTCTCGCTACTTCGTTTCTCCGGTAACTCCCTACGGTCGGTTTTGAAAAAGAAGAAAAAATGAAGAAAGAAAAGAATGAAAAAGGAGAAAAACGAGGAAGTGAATCGTCTATCAGAGATACGAATCGTGTAGAAACATCGTTTCAAGCGTTGGTAGTAGTTGTATGGGCCGAGAAGCCATTTCTTTTGCAGTAAATCCGTGTATGAAAGAAGAAAGAGAAAGAGATAAAGAAGAACGTTTTGAAAATGAGGCGAACTCGAAAAATGCAGCTTTTCGTTCGCGAATCTCTTTAAACGAATAACTGTATTGGCTTCTTCCTCCTCTTCCTCCTCCTCCTCATCCTCGTACTCCTCTTCTTTCACCACCTTATTCTTGTTACTTCTCTTTCTCTTTTCTTCACTAAGATCTATCCAAACTCTGGGCAGGGCTCTTTTGTCCCTCGTGAAACGCAGGCTGGATAAGAACGTTTACAAGCGGCAATATAAACACCAGGCAAAATTCATTTCCCTCTCAAAAACGTGCTACACTCTGTCGCGAGCCGTTTACAAAGCCTCGGTGCACCTTTTACTTCTTCCTTCTCTCCTTTACAAACAATTTATCTTTTCCATTCCTTCCTATCCTCTAAGTTTCTCGCATTTCTACTCTACGAAGAGAATAAATTCGTTGGTGAGAATGATGACTCCTTTTGCAAACGTCCTTTTCGAAAAAGTAATGTCCTGCATTAAAGAATGCAAATCTATTTAATCAGCTTTTCATTTACTAGAGTTCTTATCTTTTAATTTCGAAATATTATAAAATATAAAATAAAAAAAAATAAAAAAATACATTTATTAGAAATGTAGAATCATTTAGTAATAGTAGTGGTAGACCACTATCGATAGAAATTATTCTCGATAAGGCAAGTGATTGGTCGATCGTTTCGGTTTTCGGAATATCCGAGCATCGAAATGGTCGTTTGCTTTATTTAGGACACGAGTTGGAAGGTGATAGTTGGATGGACCTTAACCGGAAGGTTATCGACCAACCAGAAAGTTCCTTCTGAGGAGATCATCCGGCTATCGTGGCTACCCATGAGATTCGGTTTCAAATTTCGTTTGAAATTCATCTTCGTTCGTTCGTTCGTTCGTTCGTTCACTCTTTCGTTTATTCGTTGGAAGAAGAAGAAGAAGAAGTACGTTAAATGTCTTCCGGTACTTGTCGTTTCACGAAACTTTCTAGTTCTAACAAGACTTTCGACGTAATCCTGCAGTTTATTTACAAAACAACTTCGTTTCGTGTAAAACCTAATCTACCGCAGTACACGGCTAACGTTAAATCGCTTTTCGATGGACTAGAATAACTTAGAATTCCAAAACGTCCGTTTTGAAATATAATAGAATAAATATATTTATTTAATGAGACATACGAATTTTATTAGAAAATTTTTCGCAAAAATTGATCGATAAGAATATTATGTTTTTTTTTTTTCTAAACATTTTCAACAAATATTTGAAATTTGAAATTAATTAGTGTCTTTGAAATAAAAGAAATAAAAAAAAATATAGATAAAATATTTTCGGAGTCAATATTTCTTTGCGTATAGACCAAAAAGAAAAATAATAATATTACATAATATATCAAGAGTAAATAAAAATTCGAACGCTTCGACATTGTGGTAATTGGTTTGATCATGAGTCAATTTCGAAACTGTCATTAAAGTTTAAGTAGATCGAAGTAAGATGTTTTTTTTTTCTTTTTTTTTCTATTTGCATTTTTATCGCTATTGTTAACCGTAATAACATCGAAACGCCTTTTACCTATTTGCATAGGAACGATACGAAGGGAAAACTCGTTCGCAAAACCAATCTCGCGGTCATTGAACATCATCGTGGCCTTATCGTGGTCTTATCCTGGCCACTTGCTGTCCGAGACCAGTAACGTGGAAATCGGTTATCTCAAACAACATGAGCAACTTTGTTTCAGACAAACTTTCGATATAACGACAGTATTATCGTAGAAACGATCGCGATTAGTTTTATTTTCTTTACAACATATTATATCACAACATAATATCACATCGTACAACCCCTTATATGATTTATTATTTCATTCTATTTAATCGATCTTTTATTTTACTACTCGTTTTACAAAAAAAAACGAACGGAACGTTTTATACTCATATGGAAAAAGAAAAAAAGAAAAAAGAAAGAAAAATAGTCACCGTGTGGTGTAATGAGAACTATACGCGGAGGGCTATAATGCGATTATACTTGAAGGGCTTCACCAAAGTACCCCTAAAACCGTCCGATTCCGACTATCGCTTCGTTCTAGCTAGGATATCGTCCACAATAAAATTTGTCGATAGAAAATTGCCGATTTCAAAGCCGCGAATGCTTTTTCTTTTTATCTGTTTTTCTTTTCCTTTTTCTTTTTTTTTTTGTTTTTCTTTTTTTCCCCTTTTTTTCTCTTTACTTTTATACCTGATAAGAAGTGCGAGTAACTCGTAACCATTTTGTGGATTCTCCCCCTTCACCATCGATGGAACCAATGAAACCGAAATAGAACTTTTCTAACTTTACGTCTTCGCACTAGGGGAGGATCGTATAATAGCTGACATTGTCGCCCCACTTTTTAAAAATCGATAGGAAAACAATGTGAGATATAAGAATTAAGAATAGAATTTAGAAATGACTTATTATTAATATGCTAACTGTCTCAAATGTGGAACATTTATTTTTAAAAGATTACCAAAAATTAATAAAATTTCGTATATCCTATATTTTTTTCGTATATTATGATAAAATACATTTTGAAAAAGTACAGAATGACGATTTGAAATATATAGTATCCAATATTGAACATCCAAGCAATTGGATCCATCCGTATTGAGTACACACACGTATTTTAATAACAAAATAATAATTATATTACAGATCAAAAATAAATCTAACAAGTACGGGATATAATCCAAAAAATGTATTTCAAAGTAATATAAGTATTACGAAAAATAAAATAATATATTTCACATAATTATCGATTCCAAGGTATAACAATGTTTCATATCGATTACAGTTATCATCATAACGATGTTTTTAAAGTGATATAATAAATTTAGCAAAAACTATGCACGAAAATGTAGAAAAAAAGATATACAGATAAAAATACAAAAAAAAATAGTTATTAAATCCGTATTTTTAAAACGTATAGAATAAAGATAACTTTAAAAAAAAAAACAAAGAAAGATATATTTTTGTTTTCAAGAATAAAGAAGATAGGCGTATCACGCTTTCCCATTATTATAAACTTTCGCAGATAGTCCCCCTCAGCGTTGATCTAAGGAGCTTGACAGGAACGGTAAATATTTTCTAGAAAATACATCCATAGTATACGGTGGATGAGACTGGATAGTT